CTTTAGAGAAATAGGTGGCAATAAGCCTTATTCTACTCTAAGATCCACTGTACAGCAAACAGGGAAGGATGAATATTGAAGCCCAAAAGTCTGCACACTCTCTTTCTCGTTTACCCATGCATGAAGCAATTTGTGTTCAGCGCAGTAACAACAACGCTGTGGAACGATTTTGCTGATTTTGTTGTTACGCTTACTCTAAAAGAAGGCACGCAAATCATCTTCCCGGAATACCCCCAAACGTTCGTACGCCAGGTATTCTCTGGAAGGGCCAGATCACCTTCTTCGCAGCACAGAGCTCTAGGTTCTCGTTCGGCGAAACTTTTGCTGTCGACTCTCGTCAGGGCTGCCGCGCTCATTATGGTTGCATTTTTTAAAGCCTTCGAAGGAAGTATCCGTTTTTCTTTGTATGCCCTGAATTTGGGCGTGTCGCTCCGTTATGAACCTTGCATTGAAATCTGTGTAACGGACACTTCCCTTAGAGCAGAGGCCGCAAACAAATGGGTTAAGGGAGCTAGATAATAGGTCTATCTGGTCATCTTACAGACGCAAACTTCTTTGCCAGTTCGATGCATTAGGCGAACCGAGCAATCGTATCCTGAGATCTACAGCGTGGAACGCTTTTTGAAGGATCGCTCGATGGCGGCAGTCATGCGTTTACACTGCGTACCCTTTTTGGAGAAAAAGGCTTTTTGCTGCGTGCGAGCCAGCCTGGTAGACGCGTCCGCATTTCCTCACCAAGTAGTGGAGAATGTCACCCTTAACTGGATGAAAGTGATGTTTTAACCAACCCCAAGGATACTAGCCACGTAATTTCGTTTATCAAGTAAGAGCCTGCGGAAAACATCATTTTTGATGTGAGCCTACATCTAGAAATAAGTTGATTTTCCTCTCACGCTGATGGATGATTGTCCATACCGGTGGCCGAATGGGGACGAAACTCAGCTGCATCTTGCAAATAGTTGCTTTAGACTGCTTGTGAGCTTGCGTGCTTTGAACAATCTCAGCTGATCGACAAAACTTTCAGCCTGCTTCCGCAATCATTCAGAAGTTATTGGCACCAGGTAGGGAAATAAGGAGAGAAGTACACTTCCATATATTGGGGCGTGCAAGAGGGACTGTTGTTGATAAACTGACTATCAATCCGGGCAGAGAACATGCAAGGATCAACTATTCCATAAGATAAATAACTATCACAGCAACCAGAGAAGACGGCGAGAAGGATTTCCCCATGAAATTGACACGTAACTTTACAGGCACAGATATACACATACTGTGGTTGGGAAAAATTTTGGAGCCGCACGAAAGATTGGTGCCGATGCTGGATTGCCCGTGGCACTGCATCGGACATATAGAAAATGTGAGGGGATGCTTATGAAAAACAGCGGGCCTTGAATCTGTCGACGACATTTGATAATAGCTGGAAATTTAGGCAAACAATATGGATGACTCCAGTTGAAGGTATTGTCGGCAGATATGGTAAGGGATCTCATCTAAACCGCAAAAGATGCTAAGCTAATCTTCATAGGATATTCCAGGCTGTTATTATAGAACACATGCCTCTTCAAGCGCCTATCTGTGCTTTCAAGACGGTTTTTGGCCACGTTTTCACAGTGGACAAACCTGAACTATACGTGAATATCGACCCATCTAAAAGTAATGAACCACCGGCAGACACTTGAATACGAGGAAACCCGGGGATATCCTGATTCAGCCTGTTATCAAATGAACTGTTACCCATTCGGTCACGCTTCCAGATTGCGCTTCGTTGTGGTGCACGTGCTAGGTGAGGGTGGAAATGGTCTGCAAGAAAACTAGTACCCTCCCAAAATGCACGGGCTCCCCAATCGGTTTTCCTACCCGGAATCAGCACAGCATCGCGTAACAGATGAACAGAACCTTGATGGCCCTTATGCGTGATGTTATTTTATACATTGCGAACTCGATGTCGATCAGCCACCATGCCCTTGAACAAACGGAGCAATTTACACGGGGTCGCAACTGCTCACTCTTGGCGAAGGTCTACATGACCTACCAACTGATTCCCGTGCCATTCGTCACAAAGAAGTTGTACAGGCTGTGTTCACAAAGAGTAAGTCAGTCGGTCTAAGAGAATTTACCCAGAACCATTCCCGCTATGCGCGGCATCGGCCTTGAAAGCGCCCGGGTTGCTCCGAAACAAAGCAGGTTTATCTGTGCGTGCAATACAGGTGGTCTAAACAATCACTGTCCAATTCCTCCAGAGGCACGTAATCGTGCTCACGCAGATTCGGGACAACTGGAGGCACGGCATTCAGTAAGAAAAAACGATTATTCACTTAGCTGTGGGCTATGGTATTTGCAGCGATTTCAGATATGTGGGCAATCACCGGTTCCAAAACATATTTGCAATGCAAGCATCGTCTGAGTGGAGAGATGTTCGTAATTCAATGGAGCTTTGTACAGATTTGGGTGACTACAAGTCACTTGCAGGCTTCCGAGGAACCATGAAGTAGAGAATATTGATAACCGAGTAGTAGGAATCCAAGTGGTACGACTTCGTCATCAAAATGTTATTGTACCGGTGAATCTGAGTTTCTACTGGGCATTCCAGGCAGCGTACTGACTGTCGTCAAAAATACGTTAGATTCGCCAGCTGCGAGGAACCTTTCGACCCTGGCTGTGTGTGCCAGGAACCGCGCGGTAATTCTGGAATAATCTGCCTTTTGTAATCCGCAAACGAATTATCTATTTAGAATGTTCTCGAATATAATTAAAATTATCCATTTTTTCTCCCCAATCAAAACATTGTCAAAGTAAACATAAGGAGAGCACTTACAAAGAATCCGTTCACATACCAAATCATCCAGAGCTTCTTTGATATTTCAGAAGGAACTATATATGTTTTTGTACGCTTTACGTTTTTAAATTATCCTTTTTCGGTTTTTCTGACTGGCATGACATTCCTGTTTGAATTATCCATGGATTCAGAGAAATTTCGGACTTTGACTTCAAGTTACACTGGCTCACATACCATTCGGAATTCACTGCGATGATGGCATGGCACTATCATGCGCAGTGAGATGGCACTCCGGCAACTATTTTCTCTAGCATCTCAACCGCAACCCCTCGCCCACTCAGGCCTGTAATCACAACTACGAGCAAATTTTTCACCTGGCCCCGTTTCTGGAATGAGCTGTTCCGCACCCGATAAATTTTCGCTCACATATGGCTAGCCTGGTTTTTCTGTCGCTATTTCGGCTTGCCTACTCCTCAAGTTCAAATCTGTATGCGGTGTTCGATTCGCCCTATGTATTAGCAACAGGCCCCGATCCAACCTATTCCCTGTACCTGACCTCCCTAAAACATTGCAACCAGTGAGTCCGCTTAGATTCAAATTAAACCACATTTTTGAGACAAAACTCGCCATGTGCTCACAATTTGAATTAACCCATCTTCCTCTCCACTTTTGCTCGTTGTGACTCCGGCCATTTGCCTAAACGCCCAAGGTCACTCATGGCCAGCAATGGTTTTCTGGTTTAGACCATGCCAGCTGGCTGTCTTTGGACTAGTCGGAGCTCATGCCCATTGTTTCCAACAAGTTGGGAAAGAAACTTGTTATTACCAGTTCATCGGATATTCCCCACTGTTTATGACATTGTCCTCTCTTTGTGCAATCCGCATTCCCCGATCATGCTTCATTCTGACTGTAAAATTATGATCATGCCAGACGGTATGTCACCCACAAGTTGGGAATAAACATTTTATTATTATTATATGTTATGCTATCATTAATCTCCTTCCAGTTCAGGGGCACTGCAAAAACTATTAAACATCCATATATCGGTGCTTGTGACCGGGTCACGCGGAACACAATGAGTTTATCAGAGGAAGACTGAAATAGTAAAATTAACCTAATTTATTGAGACGTATCTACTAGCACCGTCAAAATTAGGGAAATATGCTGGCAAGTTTTGTAGGAGATATTTTCCAGTTCCTTATCCGCATGATGCACAGTTGTTAACTGAAGTGTTTACTGTGGGTGGATCATACGATAAATATGCCGTGAAATTTGGGCATTAGCATGCTAATTCACAGTAGATGGATGACTGACCTGAAGCGAAACTAGAAGCTATATTGCGTCTGCTCTGTAAAGCTCACTGCATTGCCCTACTTCTACTAAACTTATTATGACCACTTTGAACGTCACATCCCTCTATGTTAGAGGAGTTGAGCGACCCCAGGTAGTACCTACCGCTCACACTATTGCCATTCGTGGAGAATAGAGGCTTGGGGGATTATAGGATTTAACAAAAGTAACTACCTAAAACTTAACCTAATGACATCAAAACCTGCATCAGGCGCACACTTCTTCCTAGCTTTCGTCCCTTCTATTGCGGAATACAGAGGAAACAAGTGAGAAACTGGGGAAAAACAATTTGCAGAAAATAGGTAAATGTTGAATAATATTGGAATGAAAAAGGTAAAAAAGATAGATGTCTTTAAAATTGTTTTTCTTGTATGTTATCCATCATAATCGTTTGCCTTCCCTTGAATCTCCTAAAACAATGGCGTCCCCCTATGCTGGAAATTGCCCTTGGTAATTGATCAGGAGGCCGTCAGTTTGTTCGCCTGGCTTGATGTTTGACCTTCTAATATTTCGCGACCATTCGAGAATATATCTTTAGAGCACTGTGAATTCCTTCTCAAACGGATGAAACGCCCAGCAGCCAACTGTTAAGCTGCGAAAATATATTAAAAGCTATCAGGTAAATTCCTAATTAATGCACCCGAGCTACAAGAATTCCGGCATACTATAATCCGAAAATGAGAGTAGCACCTGAACCAGCCAGGCATTCTTACTATTTATTCAGACACTTCAGACTCCAAAAGAAACATACGAATGTGCTGAAGATTCTCCGTATGTGAAAGAAACCCTTGAAAATCCAGAGATGCATAACCCACGGTGAATTTTGAACTTAATGAAGCGTTTTATTCGCTCTTAAACCGTGGCGCGTTTTGCGGTTCGCCGCGGACGATGGCAGACAAAAGAAAATTGCAAAGTGATATTGAACGAACGCTTAAAAGAGTTCAAGAGGGCCGAACAGCATTTCAAGTAAGTTAGGTGTTTAGCTTGCTGTCTGCAAGCTCATTGTTAGTACTGAAGGCGGTAGCACTTTCAAAAAACCCAATCTGTTGTGGTCTGAATGGTTCACTCGCGTCAGGTTCACTCTTGTCTTGGATCGTAGGAATAATATGGCTCTCCCGTGAGGGCTTCCTCTTTTTACGGTCGATCATCTTATTTCACGTGATAGATGTCATTTCAGCGTGATTTTCTAATTTCCCAGTTCCTGGTTGCTGATGGGGTCTGTTCGCCGAGGTTGACAATCAAACTACTGACACTTCGTCAGCAAACATAGAGGCATCATTGGTGCGGGCTGATGCTGTTATCACAACCTCGTAAAAAGCTCTTGTTGGTTGCACGATAAATACCTCATTCGCGACTATATAGTTACGCATAGTCGCTGGATGGCGTTTTAGGTATCACTCGCGCCACATGCATGTGGAAACCGCGAAAGTGACCGGGGTTATAGTTTAACAAAAATTACACCCTAGGCGAAGACGGATTGCAACTGGAACAATCACTTGCAAAAGCTGTTGCGGTGCACATAATTCAAAGAAAAATTATATTTGTTATTGAAATCCTACATGGCCTCTCATGAGCTCCCCACATATCGCTAAAACGAAGAATTGCAAAGTTGTGGTAATAGTGATATTCACTGGTCCTGGATAATTAGAGCCCGTGTTTCCTTGTTTGGGGACGAAACATTCGCGAGTAAATTGCCAGGCTTGGTGAGTAGGTTCACAGCCACCTGACCAACAGCCAATAAACGCACCCGAGCTACTTATATTTTGACACTCCAGTTCCGCCTACTAGCTATGGGTTGAGGCTCACAGCAATCTACGAGGTTTTTCTTCACAGGTAAACGACGAACATACATTGTAGCTTCATTTCCGAAACACGTAGATCTGCATCGATTTCCAAATTCATGTATACACTACGTTGCTAGTGTTTGGTTGGTGGTTAAGTTTTGTATCTCGGTGACCGAATGCTGTAGCTTATTGGGTCTGGTAAGAAAGAGTTGACTGCAGTCTGTGGAGCTGGTGAGCTTGCGTACACGGTATGCCGCTGGCGAATCCGCTTTATCCAGGAAATCAGCTGAAGCACTGTTCACTTCGACAATGATTGATGAAAATATTTTCAGTGATCACAATCTTATCTAACCGACAACCACGGAACAGTAAAAATGAAAGTAGTAAAACTAAAGTAGTAAAAATTAAAGGACGGGTAAACCCAAAGCACTGTTTTCTGTGATCCTGATCGAAAGCTCACACCCTCCAGGGCGAAAACCTGTTGAGGGTCCTGAGTCTGCCGAATTGTTCGTCTTGTGCATTCGCATCAAAAACCGTCCTGCTTTTTGAGTCGACCATTGGCCATTGTATCGTGGAATACTTGGACGGGGATTTACTAAACTAACGACTGGACGCTTCGTCGTACCACTGGGTTCGAGCGCTACATAACTAATTACGGTGCTCTGGCCGACACCCACTTTTGTGGATAAGGTCGTCAATAAACTGCCTTCGGATCGACTGCACCTATTGAGAGGGAATCAGCATGGTGTTGGATTCATCATCCTCCAACAAATTTTAAAACCCATGAAGTCCATTCATATTTGTCCATCGGTGTCTCCGAAACATTGGCCGGATCCAGTGGGAACGTTGGCTCAGCAATACTAAGGCACGCCGAATGGTTTTAAGAAGAATGAGCTCTCACGTAATAAGCTCGTTCATCTGTAGCACCCTTTCGGTGCCGTGCCACCAGAAGAAAGCACGAGGGTTGAGATTCTGCCCGGTTGCTCAAGCCTAGGCAGAGGAAGTCGAGAGGCAGAGGTCGGGTTCGAACCACGGACCTTCGGGTCAGTGAATTCGCGCTGTAACCACCGAGCCGTCTCACGTGATAAGCGAACAGCTCATCCTTCGTAGGTTAGAATGTGTTGTTCGCATGTCGGCCGACCATGTACTTCACGGGGCTTTTTTATACTCAGCTCTGTTTTGAGTGGAAGTGACCGAGAGACGGAGGTCTTATGACATGGCGGTGAAGTATGGCAATGCTGACCTGTGAACTCATTCGGGTTGCGACACCCTGAATGGGGATCCATGGGCTCAAATTGTCAGTGGTTAATCGCACTTACAAACGCCTCTCAGTCGCGCAGTCCGTGGAGCTCCTGTATGAAAGCTTTTGTGTCCAATTCGTTGATGCCCATTTTTCCGTTTCTCCTAGGCAACTGGTTAAAAAACTACTTGATTATGCTATTTCCTTCAATACTCAGCCATATCTCCCCTGCTCTCCAGTTTTCCGGTGGTCAAACTATAGTAGATGAAACCAACCCATTCTAGAGGTGACGAACTTGACAGAAGTGAAGTCAACTTACATCACTTTCCACTAAGCTATGGTTTGTTTTCTTAGGCCTTGACCGCTGTTAGTGCGAAGTCTTTGCTCGGCCCGACCGAAAGCTACTACCTTTACATGATGATGCGCTTATGTAAGTTTTTTGGAACAGATTTGTCTTTTCAGATCAACGGAAATGAAGTATACACGGTGATTAAGTGTCATCCCCATCTTCAAACACATGCACAGTCGTTAGGACTCTTAGCTTTGAACTCATTACTTTGGAATTAGACTTTGGTCATCCGGTTTGATAGAGGCAGGCGCCCAGCCGGTTTGTTCCAAGTACCGACCCAAGTCTGGTACCTTGTCGTGGTGATCAAGCTCGAATGGTCCTACGGTCCACAATGGCCAAAATTCTATTCCGTAAGGTGCAACCACGCCATAAAGGTCAAAGGGAAACAGCCAAACGGAGAGTAGCGGGCCGCCTTACTGCGAGGCGGTCTGAAAATAAAGTTGTACTCCTCTACGATAGGCAATAGGTTGTTTCATCCAGACAGTCAGCATGCCCCCTTTTCATAGAAGCAGGTATACTGTCTTTTTCTATGAAGAGTTGTGTCAAAAAGCTCAACCTCCGTGTCATAACTATATAAAACATACCTTTGCATAGACCATTAACTCGTAATTCTCACCATATTTTCAGCTCATGTACTACCGTTATTAGACGATTAAAGCGTACATTACGTACTTCTATTCTGTCTCCTTTCTAATCTCGTCCTGGAACTACTTGACTCTCGTAACACTCCGATCGTCAAACGGCCGACAGTAACTGCCGGCGATTCATTCAATACGGTCAGGATATTTTTAAAACCCATCGCGAGCCTAATGCGGCTGCAAACGAGTCCGGTATGCGCAGTAACGCCGGGAGTGAGTCATCGCTTACTCCCGTCGCTGTCTGGCTAGGTCAGCCCCCTGCAGCCAAGTGGGTTAAACTATTAAACTATTAGCTTCAGACATGACTCCTAAGGAAATCCTACTACACACTGCCTTGTCGGTTAGACTCTTGAGATAAGGGCTAGATACTCATTAACTTGTCTGTCTAGTTTTTATGCCGAAGGCTGAAGGTGGGGCACCTCATGTAAACCGCCTTACCCGACCTAGACGACCGAAAAGTATCATCCACCCTTGCAAAGTTTTACTCAGCGGCCCCAGCCTGCACTCCGTCCTCACTCATCAATTAATGGTCAGTCCAATTGTCGATCTCCGTCCCCCCCTCGGGAAAACAAACCAAAATAATCCTTCATTAAAGTCAAAAGATCTAACTCAATTTGCAGCTTTGACTCTTTGTGCTCCTTCAAATTGGCCACTAGGCACCATACAGGGCCACACTTCGTCCATATACGACAAGTAATTTAAGATGAACTCAGATATGTCACGTTTTACTCTCGGGGTATGTAGTGATGTTGACGCAGTGGCCACCCGAAAGATGCACGAGGGCTGGGATGCTGCCAGATTGCCCAAGTCTGGACAGGACCAGTCAAGATGCAGAGGCCGGGCTTGAACCATGGACCTTCCGCTGAGGCTAACCATCGGTAACCGATAGCCGCATGGTCCCATTGAGTCTATGACTGTCTTGCATCTGACATCAATTAACTCGATGTGAGCGTTTTTGTTGCAAGCTCGTACTGGTCAGAAACAGACGGCGAACAGCACACAACTGAAGCAGTCGTTCCTCGTTATCCACACCCTGACCATCTACTCCAAATCTAACGCGTGGTTGCGCTTCTTCCGGACTTATTCCTTCAAAGCGTGGGTATTCACATCACCCACCAGGATTGCTATATCCATCTTTCTTGCTGACCGAAGTAGTCGTGACACATTTTGACAACAAGGCTTTCAAATAAATCGTGGTTATACGGCAGCGAAGCATTGGTGTTGGGCACTGATTTCATGCTGTTGGTGGTGGTGATGATCTTAATAAAACCCCTCCTCAGTCACAGAAAGGCAGTCTGTCGGAGCGTATACTGATGTGTCAAATAAACACCGCTTACCGCATCGACTTGCATTGGTCCTAATTGCGACAGACAATCACACAGCGCAAAGAGGACTCCATTGGGATCCAGTCCGATACGGCGCTTTCTGCCTTGGGACTGAGTGCTACTCTCACATCATAGAAACCCTGAGCCATTGCGTCAGGGTCACCAAATACCCGAAGAGTGGAATGTGGAATATCCGAGCTCATCCTAATCGGCCTGATGTGCACGACTGAAGTGGGGTCTTGTATGCGTGTTTCGGAGACACGTACATCGACAGATAGGGAGAGCAAGGTTTGGCTGTTGATCTGTTCGCCGAGCTTGGCAATTGATTTGCAAACGTTTCGTCACCATTCGAGGAGACATTTTCAGCGCACTGAAGATGTCTCCTCGAATGGTGACGAAACGTTTGCAAATCAATTGCCAAGCTCGGCGAACAGATCAACAGCCACCTGATCAATTACCAACCAATACACCCGAGCTACCAATATTCCAAAACATTACCAAGAGCAAGGTTTCACCAGATGTCTGTTGCTCAATTTGATATAGAGTATGGACATTGCAGGCTGCAACGTGGGTCAGATCTCTTGAGGTTATTAAATAACTATTTTGGTTTATTTTACTGGGCGACGCATT